AGGGAGACTTCTGGAGTTTTTAAGAAAAATATTTCATTACTGTAGTCCGCTTACCTAACCTGTAAAAAATGAATAATTTTGCAAGTGTGTGAGCATTCTGCCTTGTTTGCAAGTTGTGCAGCTTGCCAGGGCCACAGTGGTTGTCTCACTTCTGTCAGGGAGTTCCTGGTGGCTTCCAGTCCATGGGCGTTACTTATAGTTGTTCCTGCCCCATCTGATTATATACTGTCTCCTGCCTCTTTTACCTCGACTTTAGATTCTGCAGCACATTCATGTTTGTTTCTGCTTCTTCCTACACTATTTCAGTTCAGAATCAGTGATTCTTGCATTTTAGTTGCCTGTCTGGAACATGCTGCACCCTAACACAAAAGTCTGTGAGATATCTACATGTATGCTGGGTGTGCACCCACTGTATACACAAAATTGTGTGTCTTATTTTCCTACCATATTTACTTCTGAATAAGAAAAAAGCTGTGATTCCTGTGTTTTCCTAGAATCATCATAGAATAGTTTGGGTTGGAAGGGACCTGTAAAGATCATCTAGTCCAATACCCCCTGCAATGAGCAGGGATGTCTTCAACTAGATCAGGTTGCTCAGAGCCCTATCCAATCTTACCTTGAATGTTTTCAGGGATGGGGCGTCCACTATCTCTCTGGAAAACCTCTTGCAGTGTTTCAACACCCTCACTGTAAAAAAAGTCTTCCTTATATCTAGTTTAAATTTACACTCATTTAAAACCATTGCACTTTGTCCTATTGCAACAGTCCCTAATAAAAAATAGGTATGGCTGTGTTAGATAGAGTGACGTGCATCTGCTATGTGTCCTTGTCAAGACCAAGCTGGTTTTGCTTGCAGAAGCAGAAGGGGCAGTCCTTCTCTTCTACCATATAACCATGAGTGGCCTTTATAGCGTAAAACTGTAGATTTTGTTCTAGTATCAACAAACACAACTAATAATATCAAGAAAAATTGTAAGAAACAGGCTTTCTGTGGAAGATGGCTTCTTTTTGCTGTGACTCATAGCAAAACCAGAGATCACTAGGTGCAAGTTTGGTTCACTAAGCATGGGCATCTGGGGCTGTTTGAGATGTGTAAGGGTATTCAGGACAGATATCTGTGAGAGTGTGGCCACACTTATGCAAACCTCAGTCCTTCTGGAGAAGCAGGTGGAGGCCAAGTGGCATGGCCCCTAAACATAAACCAGTTCTACAGATGTGTGACCAGGAAGCTGAATCACATCTTCCTTCTCTGTCGGTGGGAGCAAGAATCAGGCAAACTGAAGGCAGTGATGACACGTACTGCGATGCCAGCCCCCTAAGGAGGAAGCTAAGCCTGGCAGGCCAGGTACTTTACAGTAGAAGTAGAATGGTACATAAGGGTGGAACTGATAGCAACTTGATTGTAAAAACAGCTGGATGTGCCAGCTGAACAGTAAGATAAAGCTGTGTGAGTTATGTGGGGTGTCAGATTGCTAGCTTTTGGAGGTGGCAGCCATCGTCACAGTCTTCATTTGTCAAGTGCCTCCCATACTGGAGTCTGGAGGCAAGATTGTGGCTCTGTGACTGCTACAATTTTAAAAACTGTTTTTTACTGTCAGCACAGAGATTTCCCAGGGCACTGGACTGCAAAGCTTAAGCTTGCTGGAAAAGGATAATATGAAAATATGTTGTGCTCATATCAAGGAGAGTGGAGCTTTCCTTTCCACGAATATAGTATACATACCAGAAGATGAAGATCAGAAGATGAATCGCTTCTGAAACAGTGCCTTACATTCGTTCTGTTCCTTTTCAATGATGAAGCCATTTTGCTTCTCTTTAAGTTTTGTCAGATGCCCCTCAGCCACTCAGTGTCTCCCACATCTTCCTTAAAGAATTTCTTCTCATGCCCAGATTATCAAATCTGCCACACTCACATGGACATATTGCAAAAAGTTGCTTGAGGCAACCTGTAACCTACTTTACATGTGGACCTTGCAAAATGTAGGGCTGACAATTCTGCGATTTTATTGAAAAACCACAAGAACTGTTACGAACTATCACGGCATCAGCAGATCCTCACACATCCATCCAGGGACCCCATCTGCATCCAGTATTTGTGCTACTATCTGTTCTGAAGAAGGCTAAATATGGCAGTTAAGGAGCAATGAACTAGTTATATTTCTTGTTAGTTTCAAGATCTAAGAATTCATTATATGTGTTGAGAGACAAGAGTTGCCTAAGTGATAGAGAGGTGATTTTGCAAGCTTTTCCTTAAGTGGCAGTGTAGGATCTCTTGAGAAGCTCAGGATGCTTCTTTTAGAAGTAATCTGCTGCTTTGAGTGAACATGTTTGCTCACATCAGTTGCCCAAATACATAGTTTTAGGTGCACATCTGCTGCTCAGAGTCATGGAAGAAATTCCTTGTTATGTTGTGCTGTACCAGGATGACTGACGTAGTATGTCCTAAATAATTAATCTTCACAGTAAGTGTCAGCCAGTGGCAGAACTAAGACAGACATATAAGGTGTACTGCTGGTTTTCCTGTGTTGACAGCTCTATGCCAGTTTCTTCATAGCCAGTGTGAGTTCATCTCTGAAGTGTCTGTGATTTCTAGAAAGATAAGCTGGGGAAGATGGTTGTCTCTGTAGTACTTAGGAAACCTCAGAGCATAAGAAACAAACAGAAGGTCAACAGATGTGTGCTGTGAGAGACAAACTAGCAGGATAGCAAGACATCTTGCATCTAATGGAAAATAAAAGCAGACAGACCAGAAATGGTAATATTTTCTCATCCCACAATTCAGATACCTGCATATTGTGCAATTCCCCTGAGTTGTATGTTGAAAAGAGTGTAGGCGTTGACTTGGTGTTGCACAGACAGTTCTTTCAGTGTCTTTCAGATGTACAGCATTCCTCTGTCCTTAACCTGATGTCCTTCCGTCCCTCTGGCCACCAGCCTGTACTGTGAATCTGCTCTGGCTTGGGATTCTGCTCTCCAAAGGGAAGTGGAGAATGATACGTCCTGAGGGACTAAGCAGGCAACCCTCTCACAGGGTTTATCTTGAAAAAAGCTTGCCTACTTTTGTCAGGAAGAGCCTAGCACTCAGTTTGGCATAGTTCTTTGAAAGTAAAATTAAAAAGTCACAATTGTTTTGGGTTAAAAACTAAAGACCCTTGTGCTTTTCATCTTTTAAGCATTTACCATGATCAACTTGTTTGTATCAGGGACTTTGGTGATTTACATGGCTTCCCTTTTCTTGCCTTTCACCAGAGTTGTAATAGCAGAACACCTGTTTTGTTTCTTCATTCAGCTTAACAGTACTTCAGTATTACCAGAGAAATTTTCTCTTGGAATTTTTTTTACACTAATTGTTTGCAGAATTTTTTAAAAAATTCATAACTAAAATTAAAATTATACTGTATGTACATGAGTTTGTAAAGCTAGGTATATGTATATATAAGAATATTGTGTTGTAACTTGACTGTCTATGCAGAGTCTGTATAAGTGTTTTGGAAAACATCAGTTGTAATTCCTTATGGAACAGTCTTCTAAATGACTTGTTCTGGCTAGTCTTCAGCACAAGCATAAATGTGCTGTGATACTACTCTAAATTAAGATCTTTAAGGTGTTTATGAAACAGATTTTAGGGTAATTTCACGTTTAAAATTAGGAGTAAGAAAACTTGAGAACACAAAAGCATTTATGAAACTAAGCTTAGATATGGAGACAGTTATTTATTCAACAGAAATTCCCCTGAAAGTCAGGTGAACAGAGTTCTCAAATAAAGTCAAAGATCTGGGTCGATTCTTGTTGCCCTCATCATACATATAGAAATGTTGGCAGTCAGTGTCCCATAGATCTCATGTTGGAAGTACAGCTCATCTGTGGTATAGGTGATAACGAAGAAAATTTCTGATGTTGCATTTTATTCTCTCAAAGCTTAGGAAACTTCGAGTCTAGTGGTTCAATGGGAGCACCTGGGAACTCACATTAAATTATAGCTGGGAAGCCCTCAACCTCTGCCCTATCTGGCAATGTCAAAAATCTCTGCTTCTGAAAAATTAGGTCCTTTTTGTCACGTTCAAAGAGCTGCTGGATGAAATTGTTAAAAATATTTCATTTAAGCTAATGCAAAGAAACAAGAAGTTGGCCTGTGAACAGACATCTCCCAGCTTTGTTGTGCCTGTCAGAAAAGTTAGGGCTTCTGGCTGTCTCTTGTCATTGTACCTGCTCCCTCACTTGTGGTTGGCCCTGCAGAGTCTGCTGGTTATCAGCCCTGCTCAACCATTTATTAGGGGACACCACAGGAGAGGATCATTTGGATTGGTGTCTGCTCGTGGTAGGGTGGTGCTGAGTGTAGGAAACATTAACCTCTGCCACTGGCATGGCAGGTGGGAAGGGCTGTGCATGTCTTTGGCTTCACTAGATCAACCTAATGTCATATTTCTTTGGTATGGTGGATAAGGCTGATGTGTGAGTCGGGAAAACTAAGTACTGGGAAACCTGAGGTGAGAATACATGTTATTAATTGGTGGATGGTGTGCTTTGATTAGTAATAAGTTTAAGGCCAGGAGGTATGTTACTTTTGTCCTGACTGCAGTGAACATGCATGCTGATGATAAGATATATGTTGTGTGTATTTTTTACAATTCATTGGATTTAGCTATGTTTGTCTTAGTTGTCATTATTTAGGAGGTGGATACCTGATATAATTAAAATTGTCAGATACTGATTTTTTCACTGCTACGCGCATTCATTACCTGTAACTTCATATTATTTTTCTTTTCATTAAAATCATAGAAAGTGTGATAGAACTGTGTGAATTCAGATGTAGCAGTAAATTTTACCTATTAAAATTGATTTGGATTTGTACATTTGTCATGAATGTGAATAAATTCAGAAAGCGATGTTGAGGTATATCTGAGGTTTATCTGTATATTAAAAGATGTATGCTAATATGAGTGTGAATTCTCAGGTATAAACGGGGATCTTGTATTTAATTTTTGCATTTTTCTATGCAGGTTCGAAAGCATGTGAATGACCTATATGAAGACCTAAGAGATGGACATAACTTGATCTCACTTTTGGAAGTCCTTTCTGGAGACACCTTGGTAAGCTTTTAGATCAGCATGCAATGATTCCATATTGTTGTTTATGCATTTTCTCTGTTTGTTAACTCCTTGTGTATTGACTGCTGGAGGCTTCTTTGATATTTTCTGTAATCTGTGACCAGATACGAAAGACACAAGTTATATTTCTCTTGGTAAAATATGCTACTGTGAATTCTGTGGGGGAATGCAATCTGTTTCTTCATTTCTTGTGGTCAGAGAGACTTCCTTTCTTAGTAGGGTAATGCACTATTTTTTTCTGTTCTTTCTTTTTCTTTCCAATTTTTGTTTTAACAAGTATTGGATGCTTAATATCTTTTGCATTAAAGGGAGTAACTGACAAATAACAAGGATAAAATGTCCCTGAAATTGTCTAACACACTCCTCAGGTGTCATTTCCTTTCTTTGTGAGCATTACTTCCCTTGCTTTGTATTTGTTCTCTTCATTATGTTCTTCTTTTCATGCTCTTCTTTTCATTTGTGGTCTGTCTTGTGTTTTTGCTGTCCTGTCTCCCGTCTGTTGTATTCATTAGCCAAGAGAGCGAGATTTTTTGAAGACCTTACGGTTGGTGAGTTCAACAGAAGCATGCGCAAATGAACAGCATGAGGATGTGGAGGATGAGGATAAGGGGGTAGGTGCCGACCCCCATAACTGTACTAATGTAGTGTTTGAAGTGTGGTGTCTGCTAATGCAAATTCCTAGTTTGGTGTGCTGCAGTAGTCGGCTGTAGAAAGGACAAAAGAAACTGTGTTGGTAAACCAGGATATGTGTGTTCATGACGGAGGTATGGTAAAGACAAATTTTGATTTAGCCTTTTTGTGAACAGCTGAAATGAAAATGTTCAAGATTTTTTACTTGTTTTCTTTGATTAAACTGTAAAAAACCATGATGCAAATGTGTACTGGACAATGCTATCGAGATGTTATAAGATTTTTTAATAATAGATAGGGAATTACCATAATTCTGTTAAACTAAGACTTTTTTTTAAACTTGCAAATAGTATTGTCCATATACAAGTAATTTAGACAAAGACTTGAAGGCTCTTCTTAGTGAAGTCAATAGCAAAATATCGATTTGTCTTAATTAGAAGCACTAGTCTACTGTGCCTGTGGTATACATGACATAATGTTGGATAACATCTTGAAATAAGAAAATTCAGATGCACAGATCTATTTGTTAAAATTTACCACACGTAATAGTTATTTTTATCAAAGCAGATAGATTAGAAGTTACAGCTTTGGGTAGTGGTTACTAAGAATACGGATAGTTTGCAGAGTTTATCTTTCTTGAAATAAATACCAAATTATTGTTTCGCTGTATTTTGTCCATCCAGAAGGGAAATATCTACTTAAAAAGTGTAAAACACCAAGTGCTTGTTAGTCCAAGTGAGCTGTTTCATGCCTTTTTAGACCTTGCATCATTGGCATTTGCTAAAGCAACTTGCTATCATAGGGCCTGAGTGCCTCCCTGGCTCCCATGCGTTGTGTTGCAGTTGTGATTTCAGTGGAATTTGTGTGCTTTTTTCTGGAGCGTAACATATCTCAAAAGGCTACACTTTTTTAGAAAACACATATTTCCCCTCTGAGATGCTATACCTAACTATATAGATGGGGATTTATTATACCTTCTTTGTTGTGGAAAACCAAGTTCCAGGTCTGCAGTCCTTTGTTCCCTCTGTAGAAGCTACTTGATAACAAGGACTGCAATGCTTGATCCTGAGCTATTGGTGTGAAAAACAAGGGGCTAAATAGAAGATTATATAATGTAAACTAAAATTCTGTGTTTCAGTTTTTGCTCCTTATTCAGCTCCATTTTCCCCCATTTCTTTTTGGCAAGCATCTCATACTCCACAGGGGGGAAAAAAAGGCAGTTGAGGAAGGATTGGGCTTATCTGTGTGTTTTGCGGTGATTATCTGAGGAAATACTCATATTCATGGCTGTTCTCTAGCAATTATAGTCTGCTTCAGTTTATTGCTGTGAACGTTTGTGAAAAATCTGAAATAAGGAAGAATAGAAGGATTTGGATATGATGTTGATGATATAAGTTTAACTGCTTTCCCATGCTGATCTTTGACAGCTAAGTATGCGTTTTCTGTGTGGTTCTTCTTCTTGGTAATTTTACACTAACTGCATGCAGTTTTGCCATTTTTTCCATTAACACACCGCTTGTGCTTATTTTACAGTTTTTTTCTTGATGGTTTTGTCTTTGCTTTGGGAAGAGTGATTTGTTAGTTCTTTTCACACTTTAAAATATTCTACTCAAGTCAAGAGTTTAAACTTACGCTCTAAGACTGTATATGTTGTATTATTCTGTTTGGAGGAAGATACTATCTTTATTAGATGCTTTAATAAATATGTATAGATATCATAGTGATTATGCAGTCATACCATTAAGTCATGAAGTTGCATACAGAGGTAAGCTTTTCCATCACAGAGTTTATCAGAGCAATATAAAGGTCCATGACATTACTTACATTTTGCTTTGCTTAGTACACTGTGAATATTTTATAATAATAAATTGCACTTTAGTTTCTGTAGGTAATAGCCCTCTTGGCCTTAATAGTACTTTACAGGGAATGGTTATCAGCCTGCATGGATCAAAGTTGCAGCTGGGAACCACTGATCTCTCTTGCTATCTACTCTGCTAAAAAGCTTCTACTATAGTTAAAAAAAAATATTCAAAGCACACTTTCCCACCAAAGGTATTGATTTCATTAAAACCACAGTGCTTCAAATGTTCTACACGGTATCTTTTACATCAGACTGTTCTTTTGTCTGATGAGAAAATCTCACAACTATTGTTTTCCAATTTTAGCCCCGAGAAAAAGGTCGGATGCGTTTTCACAGACTCCAGAACGTCCAAATTGCACTGGACTATTTGAAAAAACGCCAGGTATGATGAAAATTAAAAAAAAAAAAAATCATAAAAATTTTGTCACCTATAGCTAATAAATAAAAAATGTCCTACTTTGTCTTTTATGCATGTTGTGTAACAGCTGCTTGTGTAGGCTTGGCTTTATGTCATACTTGAGATGGATAAGCAAGATGTGGCAAAGTTAACTTTGCACCACCCTTCTCTGAGCAATAACAACACACTCTGTGTGATATGTGGTATTAAAGAGGAGAAAATTATGTGTGAGATCCTAAGGAGTTGCTTACAGTAAATTTAACTGTCTTTCATGCTGCCCAGACACTAGCTGGTTTGCAATTTTGTTCAAAGTCTAATTTATAGTGCAAAATGCAGATTTAAGGAAATTAGAATATTGTATGGGAATTCCTTATTTTGATTTTATTTGTTTTGGGAAAATCTCAAACCTTGATCTTGATGAAAGCAAAACTGGTCCTGTAGAAAGGCAGCAGAGTCAGTTACCTGGACTGTGGAAGATCCAGTCTTAATTTCACCTGTATCTCCTTTAAGCCAGATACTTGAAATCCACACTGCTAAGTGGTTTTCTGCTACTGCTTTTAAATTCTTTTAAATGCTTACAGTATTCTTGCTTTCTCCCTTCACAAAACAGCAATTTAAAAAAGTATCCAAAATATGGAAGGAAAAACTGTTTCTCCCTATCCATTCCATCCCATTCCAATGAAGTGACACTGAAAATCTGCTTTTTGATTGATTGATATAAAAAAATAATTATTTGCTACTTCAAGGGTTTGAATTTATCTATGGTTAGCAAAACATAGATAGATACTTACTTTGGTTATAAAACTAAGTGCCCTTTTGTATTTTGAGTGAAATTGCAAACTTGTCTTTTGGGTCACTGAGTATATGTGTACTGAGAACTGAATCTGCCTTTGCTGAGTTCAAAGCAAACTTTTCCTGTTAACCTAAGTGAGCCACTGAACAAATAACACTACAAAGTAAATGAGTGGCTACTTGAAATGATGATCACACTGGTATTTTTATGCAGCAAGACCTCAGCACTTGTGCTGCACCATGTCTTACTTATGCATGGCAGACCATGTATATTAAAGTGCAGGAGATATAGGATCAGATCACCCCCATGTTTATGAATGTGTGTGTTGATGGGAAGCACAAGACTCCATCACACAGCTGTTGATTGTGATCTGAGGATTGTTGTGTTTTCCTTAGCCTTATGGTTTTGTGAAGATGACTGTATTCTAGAGTACAAAATGCTTGTAGGGCTTTGGTCTTCTTGGTAAATTGTCAGTGGGACTTGCAGTTGATTAAAGTTTCAGCCCTCTGATAGGTGTTTCTAAACCATATTTAGGAGGTAACTTACTCAGGTTGGCTGTATAACCTCCAAAACCAATGCTTTATTGTGATTGTAGGGCAGAGAAGTCCTACATATTGATAATTTAGAAACCTGACTTGAGAATTAGACCAGAACAGACTGTGGAATACACTGTCTTTCTTGGAGATAGAGTGGTTTGGCACTTTTTTTCCTTCCAAATAGTTAAGATTTTGTAGCAAATCAAGAGGAGGACATGCCTTTGCTCGTTCAATTGATAACAGGGTATATGTTCAAAAGCATGTGCATATAACTTTACTAATGTTGGCATAAAATGCCTTTTAGCTGTCATCTTTAACTGCTAGGCTATATGGATACATAATACAAATAGAGAAATTAAATGAATTATTAAAATATGACAAAGAAAATGGAATTATTGAACTCACTCTAAGTGCGAGGTTATGGGAGTGGCAATAATAGCAGCTTTTGTTTTCATCCTGTTAACCATTTCTTGTTATAGCACTGTGATTGAGTGCAGCATCAGAAGTGATAGTAATTGTTGTCATTAAGCCATTGGTTATTTAAATGTGATACTAAATTCTTAGTTTTATTGAGCCAGAGCATTGTGTTTTAGTAAGCCAGTTCTCCTGCTGCTGAATTCTTACTCTGGCACAGGAAAGTGTGGGGTGGAAGGAAGACAGTGTTAACTTCTCAGGGCTTAGCACTGCCCTGGGACTAATACACCAGCTACAGATCATTATATTCTTGTTATCTTTCCCTGCTTTGTCATACCTTCTCCTTTTGACAAGAATGAAGGAAAAGGGTATTTGGCATGGGGAGCAGATCTGCTGGCCTAGTGACAGCTGAGGATCTTCTCAGCTTGATATGAGTGGGAGAGGGCAATTCCTAGCAGGCTGCTTAGAGCCAGAATGCTTTTGAGAATTAAAAAATCCCCAACAGACTAGGCTCAGGAAGTGAGTAGTGTATCCTTTACAATCATACTGTGTAATGCAGTATGTGTTTGTGGCATATTTATTTCAATTTTGTCTGTATTTTCTTTCTACAATGGCAGGTGAAACTGGTTAACATCAGAAATGATGATATAACAGATGGGAATCCCAAATTGACTTTGGGGTTGATATGGACCATAATTTTGCACTTTCAGGTAAGCCTAGTTTTGCTTTACAGTATGTTTTTGGTCATATTCTTGCATACAGTTATGATGAACACATCCGCTTAGACAGGACTCCATAGATTATGTCTCTAATGTATATTTGAAGGTTTTGATGATGTATCTTATTTTATAATGTAAACTGAACCTCAAGATGTTTGTCTGCTAGTTGCCTGTTTGTGGAGTGAGAGAAAAATAGCTTCAGTTTTGAACATCATTAAAGACAATAGTTGATATATTCCTTCCAGCTTTTGGACAAACGGGTCTTGTTTTATTCCATAGACTTCTTTTGATGTGTATTAAAATATATTTAAAAGTTTTAAATACTTTTTTTCTTCAGGATCTGAATTTCTCTGCTGATATGAGTATTTTAGCAAGCAGTACTTTCAGCCTCTTAGAGCAATTCATAACATGTCAGCATTTGTTTCTAGCCCCAGTGATGGTACTGCAGGTCACACTAGGTGGCACTCTGGTTGTTGTACACTGGCGGGATTGTGTACAGTATAATGCAGCCTTACAGTGTGTGGTGTTAAATTGCTCCTCAAAATGAGGCTTTCATAATGGCCATGGCTGTGGATGATGTAATTCAGATGACAGATAATTCCCATTTAGTGACTGCAGCATTGTTAGCGATAAACTCCCTGCACTGTTGGCATTTTAAAAGATCAGATATTTACACAATCACACAGAAAAAGCATGGTTCACTTAAGAATGTTCCGCACTGGATTTATGACTGAAAAAAATTTCTTAACAAGAAAAACCCAGAAAGGCTGTTAGGATCTAATGTGCCTTTCTGCAGATCCTAACGAGAAGCAGAAACATGAATAGGGACAGTGGGGCCCTGGTTTAAACAGGGTGCACAGGGTGCACAGCTTAACCAGTAGCAAAGACTGAGAGCTCCCCTAATTGTGTCAGTCTTTGCTTCCACATAGTTATATGGAGAGAAAAAAGACTGGGTTTAAATATATTTAAGTATGACATACAGAATTAGGCAGTGATTGAATGCTGCTGTATTTTAAGAAATAAAGATTATTAGCAACTTCCTAATAGAAGCTGTTAGTGGAATTTAAGCCTTTACTTGATGTATATTTTATCTTTCTGAACCTGATTAATAGGTTTTTGCAGAATTGAATTTGTGTTTCTCTCACTAGCTGAAGCACAGGACATCTGGCACAATTTTGGGTGCTTATAAAAAGTAGTGAAAGTTAGAGCTACTACTTAGTTACAGTTGTAAAAATTAATGAAAAGGAAAAACATTTAGATAAAAGAACTAGTTTAGGTGAGCTGGTGTAACAAGGATTTTCTCCTGTAAGGTATCCAGCTCCATATGAAATAGGTTAAAACATTTAGATTGTACCTGAAACACACTTCACTATATCTTGACCCACAATAATTGCCAATTAAATGTCTGCAAGTACAATTCAGATCTTACAGATCTATTAGAATAGACTATTTCAGTTGGAAGGGACATACAATGCCTGACCAATTTAGGGCCGATTAAAAGTTAAAGCATGTTGCTAAGGGTACTCTCCAAATGCCTCTTAAATACCTACAGGCTTGGGGCACCAACTACCTCTCTAGGAAACCTGTTCTGTCTGACCACCCTCTCAGTAAAGAAATGCTTCCTAATGTCCAGTCTAAACCTCCCCTGGCACAGTTTTGGATCATTGCCAAGCCTCCTGTCACTAGATAACAGGGAGAAGGGCTCAGCACATCCCTCTCCACTCCTCAGGAAGCTGTAAAGCAATGATGTCACTCCTCAGCCTCCCTTTCTCCAAACTAGGCAAACCCAAAGTCCTCAACCATTCCTTTTAGGACATACCTTCCAGCTCTGTTGTTCTCCTCTGGACACATTCAAAGACATTCGAATCCTTTGTAAACTGTGGGGCCCAGACCTGCACACAGTTCACAACGTGAGGCTGCACCAATTCTGAGTGCAGTGGGATGATTACCTCTCCTCTGCTGTGTTTGATGTACAGCAGGAAGGGGTTTTCCCTCTTGGTGATCAGTTTTTTAACAAAATAATATCTTTAAAAAATGGTGAAAAAAATAATTTTAAGAATGAGTAGTGGTTCTTGACTAAATATTAAACTTCATTAGTAAATATGAAATAACTGAAGAACAGAATTTTAACAAAAAATATTTTCTGTCTTTTTGCTGTTAATGGCTGCAGTGCCTACACTGAATGCAGAAGGGATTTATGTAAAGTGAGGTAAGGGGCACCCTCTGTACTAGTCTGTGCCTGCGTGACATTTACTGCTATACCACTTCTTCTGAAGAATATGGTAATTTGGTATCAGTCACTGACACCTGTACATGGCTTATTCAGGTTCAGAATGTGAAGTTCAGAAGAATGTGCATACTTAACACCTCACGTATTTTTTTAATCTTCACTTAGATTTCAAATGAGGGAAAAATCTGAACAGAAAAGTCTAACAGCGGAGTCTTCACAAAGAGATAAAAACTTCATGATAATAACTGTGTATTGTTAATGTAGTGTGCATGGATTAATCCTCTAGTTATTGGGAAAGCTGTGATCAGATTCAGTTTGACATTAAGACACCTAAGTCCAGGTGCTTATGGGGAGCTACGTTCTTATGCATTAAGTGTCTAAATTGTCCCTATAATCTGATAATCTGAACCTTGAATAATCTGAGATTTAGTCTATACGTTTAGAATAGCCTACAGAGTGAGTCAACTAACTAGCTACTAGAGGTTCCTTCTGTTTGACTAAACATAAATGTCTCTGTCATTGGAGATTTATGAGACAGCCATGCAAGAATGAGAAACATGACATAGGTCTTATGGGAAACCCAGTCTCATCTGGGAAGAGACAAAGCAGACAGGATAAACTGCTTCTTAAATTGTGGTAAACATGTTTAGCAGTGGCTGGAGCGCTAGGCAATACGGTGGGTGAGGTTGGTGGAGCACTTCAGATCACTTGAAGTAGATGCCTAGAGCACTTACGGAACTATTCAGTTGTCCAGCATCGGTGCTTAGTGTGTTCTGATGTGTGTGTGCTGTATATGCTATCCCATGTAGATATCTTAGGTAGTTTTAAGTGTTACAAATGTTCTAGATGGTTAATTGACTTTCTCCTTATGTCTCTGATTCAGGGTGTGAAACACTGCTGTTCAATCGGTTGATTGTACTAACAAGATCCCCAGGGCTTTTGATTTAGTTTCCTAAAAACAGATGGCATTTGAGTGATATCTGAGGTGTGCTAGACTATCCAGGATATGCATGAGGGGTTCTCTGATGAAACACCAGACCTGTGAGAGAGCCATGCTCTTCCAGACCTGTAGCTGGGAGCCAATTGGGATATAGGAGGATATCTCAAAGAGTTTCAGAAGCCCATGTTGAGGAAACTAAATCCTGCCCCTAGTGGATAAAATGGTCTCTTCAAAACCTAGCTAGCATGTAAACATGAATATGTAGACACCTGTGTTGAGATCTCTTAACCTGAATTACCCCTTAAATTTTTTTTAGCATTTGCAAAGGTAATTAATTTCTCAGTGAGCGTAAGAAACTATTTGCTGTGTGATGTTACTGGCTCTGTTGCACATCATTTGTGTGTGTTCTAATAACGCTGCAATCTGGGAAGTAGTCAAGATGCCAGAGGGTTTTTTTGGCTGTTGTTTGTGGCTTATTGATTCTCTGAATCATGGTCCTTATCTGGAGGATAATATTTCCTCAAAATAGAAAATCCCTCTGATTATTGGAATGAATTTAGGAATGATTTAGGAGAAAGACATGATGAACAAAAATAAGAGATAATACACATTTGAGGATTATGTTTCTCTTGCATCTGAATTATGTCTAAAGATAGTTATAGCTTTGTGACTTGGTACCCATAATTAGATAAATGTTGTTCTGAGTTACACCACTGACTTCTGCTGTTACACAAGTCCAGAAATTGTACATTGTTCTGTGTACCAAATAATTATGTAAAAGATATGGAAAAGATGGTGGTTTATTGAGTTGAATATGTTATAAAATAATTTGTCCTGTGGATATTGGAAAACCCCAAGACATGTATGTTGCTAGGATTTAGGCAAGCTTTCAAAGTATGCATTTAATATGCTTGTAATAATATGTGGGTTAGTTTAAATTCAGTTTCGTAATGTAGTAAGTGTTGTAAGTTATTTTCCTGGCACCTGTAGAACATGCTAAATCAGATTACAGTATTTTGTATAATCATAAGCTGTAAGTATAAATATCCAAATTAATACTCTAATGGACTCCTTCAACACCCAGTATATTTTCACTGATGACATTGGAGATGACCAACTATAGATGGAAGCAGCATTTGTCCTCAGTATGTCACCACAATTTTAGTAAGATTTAATTTTGGTAAAAATTGATGATAATTTCTTTTCAAACCACTGCAAGCATTGTTTAGTTTAACAAATGTTAAATATTTAGAATAATTTTCACTTGAAAATTCACTTGAAAATGCTTGAAAAAAGCATGCCAAAACAATGTGAAACTTTAAACTTCTAGCCACCTAAAATTAGTCCTTTGTAAAGTAAGGCCTTAAAAAAATTCGGAAGCTATGAAGTCATGACTCAATAGACTTTTTCTATTTCAGTTTCATCATCATTTTCCAGCTCGGAAACTGCTGTGAAACACATTTTTCCCCACTCTCTCTAACTCCTTGCTGTCAGGCCTCTTTGCAGGATGGTGCTTTTCAAGGCTCTGCTCAGTGATGTTTTTGTCCAGATGTTACAGTACCGTCCACTTCCCTCCAGCCAGATGAGTGCTTTCTTTCAGGCCTCCTTGGGGCACATGTAACCTCTTCACACTTCTCTTGCCAGCCAGAGAATCCTTTTTTTTTTTTTTTTTTTTTGCTGCTGACTCTTTATAAACCTTTGAGAAAAAGTTATTTTTGATCAGTCTGCCCCCAAGCAGTCTATTCATTTGGTCCAGCATCAGCAGTTAAACTTTTACCATTGTTGGGCAACAAAGTGAGAAGGGTAGATTTGCTTACAGAT